CCTGCAGGGCCCCGGGACACGAGGAGGCCCAGGCGGAGAACCTCATCACTGCGAATGGTATGTCCCGGCCGCCTGCCCGTCCCTCCCCCCGACCCCCGACAGGCCCCTCCCGATGGCTGTGTGCGGTGTCTGCTCGGTGTCAGGCATGGCACAGCGTGTCACAGCCCCCGTCTCATGGCATGTGCCCACGGCCCGTGAGGCAGGCATCTCCGTCCAACACGAGGAGGCCCAGGCGGAGAACCTCATCACTGCGAATGGTATGTCCCGGCCGCCTGCCCGTCCCTCCCCCCGACCCCCGACAGGCCCCTCCCGATGGCTGTGTGCGGTGTCTGCTCGGTGTCAGGCATGGCACAGCGTGTCACAGCCCCCGTCTCATGGCATGTGCCCACGGCCCGTGAGGCAGGCATCTCCGTCCAACGTTCAGGAATGTGCCCTGTGCCCGGCCTGTGTGATCCGGAGTCCCACCCCAGGCACCTCTGCCCTGTGGGTCGGCTCCCCCAGCAGGGGCTGCTGGGGAGAGGGGCCGGTCCGATGGTCCGTCTGTTTCCTTCCCAGCAGCAGAGCCTCAGAAAGCGGAGAACTGAGGGGCCCTTGCGGAGGTAAGGCGCCATCTGCCGGGCCCTCTGTCCTTGGCGGGGAGGGGTGGGCTGGCTGTTGCACAGGCACCGTGTTTATTGTGAGCAGTGCTCTCTGGAGGCTCGTGTCTGAAAGGAGGCAAGACAGACGGACACAGCCCAGGGGTCGCGTTAATCAGGCTCCGCCCGAGCTGCCACGTGGGCCTGGCTTGGGAGAGGACTCGTTAGCGAAATGCTTCTGGTATCAGGTGGCAGGAAGATAGCGGCTCAGAGACGACTCAGAAGTTGGGCCATTTTTTATAAATAGCAGTTTATTATGAAACTTTCCAACCCTGCACGAGAGTCAGGAGAGTAACCCAGCCGCGGCGGTGAGGCCACAGTTCGATTCCCGGGCAGGGCACACGCCCAGGTTTCGGGCTTGATCCCCAGTGTGGGGCGTGCAGGAGGCGGCCGATCCATGATTCTCTCTCAACATTCATGTTTCTACCTCTCTCCTTCTCCCTTCCTCTTTGAAGTCCACAAAAATCTATTTTTAAAAAGTCAGAGGAATAATAGTCTATGCCACCCCCTGCACCCCAGCACTGCCTGCACCCCTGCACCCAGCACTGCCAGCACCCCCTGTACCCCCTCCACCCCCTCTAGCTCCTGCACCCCCAGCACTGCCTGCACCCCCAGCACTGCCTGCACCCCCAGCACTCCCTGCACCCCTACACCCCCAGCACTGCCTGCACCCCCAGCACTCCCTGCACCCCTACACCCCCAGCACTGCCTGCACCCCCAGCACTCCCTGCACCCCTACACCCCCAGCACTGCCTGCACCCCCAGCACTCCCTGCACCCCTACACCCCCAGCACTGCCTGCACCCCCAGCACTCCCTGCACCCCTACACCCCCAGCACTGCCTGCACCCCCAGCACTCCCTGCACCCCTACACCCCCAGCACTGCCTGCACCCCCAGCACTCCCTGCACCCCTACACCCCCAGCACTGCCTGCACCCCCAGCACTCCCTGCACCCCTACACCCCCAGCACTGCCTGCACCCCCAGCACTCCCTGCACCCCTACACCCCCAGCACTGCCTGCACCCCCAGCACTCCCTGCACCCCTACACCCCCAGCACTGCCTGCACCCCCAGCACTCCCTGCACCCCTACACCCCCAGCACTGCCTGCACCCCCAGCACTCCCTGCACCCCTACACCCCCAGCACTGCCTGCACCCCCAGCACTCCCTGCACCCCTACACCCCCAGCACTGCCTGCACCCCCAGCACTCCCTGCACCCCTACACCCCCAGCACTGCCTGCACCCCCAGCACTCCCTGCACCCCTACACCCCCAGCACTGCCTGCACCCCCAGCACTCCCTGCACCCCTACACCCCCAGCACTGCCTGCACCCCCAGCACTCCCTGCACCCCTACACCCCCAGCACTGCCTGCACCCCCAGCACTCCCTGCACCCCTACACCCCCAGCACTGCCTGCACCCCCAGCACTCCCTGCACCCCTACACCCCCAGCACTGCCTGCACCCCCAGCACTCCCTGCACCCCTACACCCCCAGCACTGCCTGCACCCCCAGCACTCCCTGCACCCCTACACCCCCAGCACTGCCTGCACCCCCAGCACTCCCTGCACCCCTACACCCCCAGCACTGCCTGCACCCCCAGCACTCCCTGCACCCCTACACCCCCAGCACTGCCTGCACCCCCAGCACTCCCTGCACCCCTACACCCCCAGCACTGCCTGCACCCCCAGCACTCCCTGCACCCCTACACCCCCAGCACTGCCTGCACCCCCAGCACTCCCTGCACCCCTACACCCCCAGCACTGCCTGCACCCCCAGCACTCCCTGCACCCCTACACCCCCAGCACTGCCTGCACCCCCAGCACTCCCTGCACCCCTACACCCCCAGCACTGCCTGCACCCCCTGTACTCCCTGCACCCCCTGCACCCCCAGCACTCCAGTGTCGTCAGGGCTCAGTGTGTAGGGTACTGTCTGCAGTGTCCTTCCCATTGTCCATTGTCGGGAGCAGGGCAGCAATACCTGCTCAATGCCTCCCGTTTTCACATGCCGCCCGCACCCTCAGGAGCCACAGGAGCCGAACAGCGCAGCTCCCCCCACTCAGGTGACCAAGCTGAGGTCAGGGAGGCCAGAGGGCTATGAGTGACCGTGGAGCCTGAACCCAGGCCTTGGATTTAGTGCCAGTATCCATCCCCCATCAGCTCACTTCGCCTTTTCTTCCTCTCCCCCTCCTCCTCCTCCTCCTCCTCCTCCTCCTCCTCCTCCTTTTTTTCTTTTAT